GGGAGAGGGAGAAGCAGGCTCCCCGCAGAGCAGGGAGCCCGATGCAGGACTCGATCCCAGGACCCCGGGATCATGACCTGAGCCGAAGGCAGTCGCTTAACCAACTGAGCCACCCAGGCGCCCAACACTCTGGGCTCTTTATAAAGTTCTAGCCAGGTCACTTCCTATAAATGTGTTTTGGGAACAAAGCAGTTACGACCTGTTAAGAGATACTTCAGCTGTGACCCAAATCAAGGCTCATTCTAAGCATCAGAGAGAATGTTGCCAGGTGGCCAGCCTGTTCCATCCTTAATTCACCAGTAACCCGTCCTGTAGGAAAGCACTTGCAGTAGGCACATGGCAAATGAAAGTGTGTTACCTGCTGTGAGTTACCACCTTACCTGCATTTTATTTTTTTTTTATTTTTTATTTTTTTTAAAGATTTTATTTATTTATTTGATAGATAGAGAGAGAGAGAGCACAAGTAGGCAGAGCGGCAGGCAGAGGGAGAGGGAGAAGCAGGCTCTCCGCTGAGCAGGGAGCCCGATGAGGGGCTCAATCCCAGGACCCTGAGACCATGACCTGAGCCGAAGGCAGCCGCCCAACCGACTGAGCCACCCAGGCGCCCCCTTACCTGCATTTTATAACGGGATGGTAGTGCGGGCCATTTCTGCCAGCAGCCGGTCCAATGTGGGTGAAGACCTCAACCAAAGGCCAAACATCTGGGCCACAGTGATCTTGTAAGTTAACTGTTGGAACACCATGTTACCATTTGCAAAGCGTGTTCAGACTCCGTCTGGCTTCAAATACTATAGTATACAAGTTTTATATTGCTGTCTCCATTTGCAGATGAGGGCATAAACTCAGAGCAATTGAGTGACCTTCCCAAGATTGCCCAGCTAGAGAGGGGCAGAGCCGGGCTTCAAACCCAGTGTCTATGCCCTCAAAGCCTAAATTTGTATCAAAGCTATGTTCTTCCAGATGCACAAAAGTTTGTTTAAGCTGTATGAAACATAGTACATGAATAGTATCTTGTGCTTCTCCTAGGCTTCCGGCAGAGGTGGATCCTGTGACAGTCTTTGCCTCGCTTTCCCCAGAGGGCCTGCTGATCATCGAAGCTCCCCAGGTCCCCCCTTACTCACCATTTGGAGAGAGCAATTTCAACAATGAGCTTCCCCAAGACAGCCAGGAAGTCACCTGTTCCTGAGACCCCAGTCTTGGCCCATCTTTTTCCCTCCCCAACCCCAGGGCTTCTCTGATTCCTGGGTACATGACTTTAGCTGAATTCGTAGATTTAGTGTGACTCAAATGTTGGGGGGGGGGGGTTGCAGGGTGGCCTGACCACCGACTCCCTGGATAGGGTAGTAGTAGGTGTTTCCATAGGATGGCGCAATTGGCAGGCCATGCTCAGTTGCCTGAAGCCAAAATGCTGGGAGATTTTCTTTCTTTCCCTTTTCTCTCATGATGAAAATGTTGCCCATTCTGTAGTTGCAAAACAGAAGGGGACATGACATTTCACACTGTATCTTCCCTTGCAGCGAATGCAAGGGTTGCTTCTCTCTGGGGACCTCCCTGTCACCCAGATTCCTGTTCTGGGTTCCCACTTTCCATGCCTGCCCCATGGTTTGCTGGATGGAGTCCATTAGCTCACTCTACTGTGTTTCCGCAGTGCTGGCCTACAAAGGGGGATAGCTAGGTCTTACCCCCCATATGGGATTTATCCAACAGCCACATGAAAACAGTGCCTTCTGCTCTTCACCCAAGCGTTTATATAGCATGTTCCCAAGTTGGCACTCCCTGAGGACTCTGGAAGCCCATTCATTCTCTGCCTAAAGTGCTCCCCCTCTCCCGCTTCTTGTGCCTCCTATGTCCAATTTGGGATTTTTACAGAGGGGGCTGTCTCCAAACAGCTCCACCAGGAACCAAGCAAAGGCCAGACAGACTGGTAGGCAGGCTAGTGGTATTATGTATATGAGTGGGACTTGTGTGTCATTGTTATTTGAATTGTGCTGTTGTTTGGGGGGGGAATAACAGTAAATAATAGTAATAATAAAAGAGCTGATGTTCTTAGCCTTGTGTGCTTCTTTTGATGGGGAATGCTAAATGCTATACCACTGAGAGAGCTGATATCAATTAGGAATACCTGTAGCTACAAATAATGTTACGCAACAAATAGTGGTTTAAATGACATAAACATCTATTGTCTAACTTTACAAGAAGTTTACAGATGAGCGATTTCAGAGTTTTTTTTCAGTTCATACGCCACCAAGAGCCCAGAGATCTTTCTCCTCTGCCATCTCTGACAAGTCTAAAAGATCAGTCCTCATGTTTGCAATATGGCTGCAGCAGCTTCAGTCATCTCATCTTCATATGACAATGTACAGGAAGAGAAGGCAGGGGTAAAAAAGTCTTCTCATTTGGCTTTCTCTTTTATCAATGAGCAAGATCTTTTCCAGACGCTCTTAGAAGACTTCCCTTTTATCTCATTGACCAAACTGGGCCACATGCTCTATCCCTGGAGCCAATCCCATTTAACCCCCATGATACCCTAAGAAGTAGACATTCATTTTACAATGAAGAAGCTGATGCTAAGCGGCTTTGGTGAGTCACAGGATAACAGCAGAACTTGAACCTGGACATTTGCTTTTGGAAGAGTTCATGAGGGGCTTCTGGGCTGCAAAGGCAAGGGCATCTCTAAACGCCCAAATTGACAGCAGAAGTCAGTGACTATTTCCTGAACACTTACTTGCTGGGTCCTGTGCTAGAAGCCAAGGATGTAGTGAACAATGAGCCACCATTTCTGCCCATAGGAGCTCACAGATCCATAACAGGAACAGGCAGATAAAGGCAGGCCTGACCCTCACTTACCTCCTTCCACATACGAGACACCACGCTAGGGTTTCATGTGTCTGCTCAGTTCCATTGCTCGGCAATTCTCTGAGGTATGTTCAGCTCTCACCTCCACTTGACAGATAAGGAAACTGAGGCACAGAAGGGTTAAGGGCACTGCCCCAAATCACACACCTGGTAAGCAAGGGGCCCAGGAAATCTGACTCCAGACTTACTATGAAATAGGACCTTGTTCTGCTTTTCTCTCAACAAAGAAAACGTAAGCGTGGCGTCAGTGAGTCCATTCACCTTGTGGGAAGAAAAAGATGGTATTTCAAGTTGGAGCTTTGCAGAGGGGTGGGGGTAGGGATGATGGCTTATCAGAAAGGGGGGGGCGCTCCTTTCAGACTTGAAGATGGACAGGGTTGCAGCACTTGAGTAAGTAGGGGGAGGGATGGGGAGGGGCCTCACCGGCAGAAGAAAACACAGGAGCCCAGATGAAAGGTATGTCCCTTTTAAAATCCTTTCATGGTTCCCCACCGTCGGAAGGATTGAGTACAAGCTTCTTTGTGAGACTTGCAAGGCATTATGGGATCTGTCCTCAGGCTGTCTCTCTCCACCCTACCTTAACCCCCTACCTTCACCCTCCAGCCCCACCCAGCTTCCCCTCTGTTCCTCCAACCAGACAAGTCCTCTCTTGCTACCAGAACTTTCGACACGCTGTTCTCTCTCCCCACGATTACTCTCTGACCCTCCTCACTGGCTCATTGTTTCAGGTTCCAGCTCAGATTCCTACCAGGGTGGCCAGCGCCCCCTCTCACCCTCGTCCCCACGCAGCACACCATGTAACAGCTTGGGTATCTGTGCAGCAGAAGAAATCATAACAATCATAAAAACCCAACTGACCTTGACTGCCCTGTTTTCAAGGGTGAAAGGAGGAATCATTCAAGGGGGAAAATCCCTACCCATTTGATGTTTGTTCAACAAAATATTTATGGGGCATCCACCAGGTGTGACGCATTGTGCTGGGTGTCGGATCCGTGTCTTTACACTGGGAGGGTCAGCTGAGAGAGAGAGGAAAACAAAGCTATGATTTCCTTGTTTGCCACTTCTGGGCTTAGGGATGGTGAGCCCCCGAGTGGGGAGAGTGGCGAGCCCATCCTGTGCGTCTTCTGGGCTAAGTGCAATGTTTGGTACATCAAATAATAATATGCCTTGAACGATTGAATGGTGAGTGTGGGTCACCCTGGGAAATTAGGCCAAAGGCACGATCTCAAATCCCAGAAACCTGGCTTCTTGCGGTTCTGAGCGCTTCCAGCTTAAACACACAAGCCTTGTCATCAAAATAGGTGACTCGGCCCTTCTCAGGAGATCTCCAACCAAATGAAAGAGTATTGCTCCTGTGCCCTCACTTGCGTGATGATGCTGGGACACTGAGTGCAGGGGAACCTGCTTCCCCACCCCATTCCCTTGACCCAGCTCCCCAGAACTTCTTATTCGCTGCCCCCTCTGCCGCCTCCCAACTGCCTGCCAGCCAGTGGCTACCAATGGTGATGTATGGAAATGCCTTGATTTGACCTTGAAGGGAAGAAACAAATTAATGTGTCTCGAAATAAATTCCGGGAATCAACGGCTGGCTTCTCCCTCCCCCCACCCCCCACCCAGGTGGCTCACGAGTTGTGCATCATAATGTGAAAATCAATACTGTCTCTTAAATGAGCCAACACCTGGAACTGGCAGGGTGTGGGGCTGCTGGGAGGTCCCTCCCCACCCACTGTCCTGAGCCCGGGAGTTTTCAGAAGGGGTGGGAGGCTCCAGGCCGGCTGTGGGAGCTGCTGTCTGGCTGCTGAGGGCTGGCTGAGTCACCTTGTCTGCAGCAGGGTCAATCCACCTGACCCCCAGCTCCAGGCTTCCCGGGTGCAAGCAGACATGAGCTACTTGGGAGGCTCCTGAGGGAAAGGGAAGGGTGGCCACGTACAACAGCATCACTGTAGCCATTCTCCAAGGATAACTGGGACATGGGGAGGGGGGAGACTGTAGGCCCAGCCCCCCAGTCGAGCAGCGCAAGGTATATTTACTTGAGTGCCTTTCTTCAGGCTCGGCCCCCATTCAACTGTATGCCCAGGTACGTTGGTGCCAGGTGTCCAAATATTGAAATACTTCAGTATTTATCACTTGATAAATACAACACCGCCTGAGCCTCCAAGGTGACCCTATTGTCCTTGCCTATATTAAGCATGTCTTTTTAGTCTGATGTTTTGATCACGTGGGGGCTTACTGGCCCTGGAGGGACCGCCCCTCCCAAGCTTGGCTAATTCCTAGACATAGTAAAGGACTCACCTGCAGGCACACTTTTCATAGGAAAAGCAACCAATCCAGAGACCACACTCCAACCACCTTCTTCATCACATTCTTAACTCTCTGAGCCACTATCCACCTGCCCTGATCATCCAAGGTCAGGTGCCAGACGCTGGGAGACAGCCCCTGTGCCCCAAAACTGGCTGAAATTATTCAATCCAGCCAATCCTAAACCTGCCTAACCTGCCTCACCTGTTCCTTCCTGCAGAAACCACAGTCAAAGCTCCTGCTTACATTTCTGCCTATTCCCTTTGCCTCTTAACTGCTTCTCGTGCTTCTCCACGTGGCCCCCTGCAACATGGCCCCCCACAACGTGGCCCCCCCCCACAACGTGGCGAGCCCTCTCTTCTTGGGATCTGTAAGTATAACAGGCTATTTTTTTCAGTGGCAGTCATCTCTCCTCATCTTTCGGCCCAGCCATAACTGAATAATAATAAAACCTACATTCCAAAACATAGATACCTCCCCTGCCCTGCCAGTCCCCCTGGGAATAAGGGGGTGCCTTTGGACCCGTGGCCATTCTGAATAGTCAGGGCCCCGGCCCTACCTGTTGTTAAAGGTTTGGAATATCATCCCGCCCTGCCCAGCCTACTCTGTATCAGTTACTGCACTAGACCCTGGAGAAGAAGACAGACGTGGGGAATCTGCCCTCGTGGGTGTAGTGGGGTCGCGGGCAAGAAGAAAATAGCAGGTCCCAGGGCAGGACTGAGCATGGGCTCTGAGATCAGGAAGCAGTGGGGCCAGCAGGAATCTGAGTTCTGACCCCAGCTCTGCTGCTCACCACTGCGTGTGACCTATGTGACCTTGTCACTTGACCTCTGCAAGTGTTCATTTCTTTATCCACAAAATTGGGTGATGGCGATGCGGGGCTAAGATGAGGATGAACATGTGTGTGTGTGTGTGTGTGTGTGTGTGTGTGTGTGTGTGTGTGTGTGAAGTGCTCAACCCATTGGTGCTAATACAGTCCAAAATAAGTAAGGAGTGGAGGGTCCCTCCAGAAAATCCAGCCCCTCCTGAACAACTGAGTCCAGGGTCTTCCAGGGACCCACGGTGGGTTACTGAGCCACTGGACAGTCTGGAGTCTGCACGTGCTATGGACACTTTCCCAGCACCTGCCTCCCAGTCCCCAGTGTCTCCGACTGGCAGAAATTAGGGGCACTGAAGGGATTTCGCTTTCCATTATCAGAGGTCTAGAGGTAACGAGACACCACATCTCCGTAATCTTAGTGGCCAGGCCCACCCCCGGCCCAAGAAGGAACCTGTTATTGTACCCCAGGAAAAAACAACTTTGAAATCTGAATTATGCCATTTTTAATGAAAGAGGAGGCTGGTTGTAGCCCCTCAGCTGTCCTCACAGTCCCTAGGGCATGGCAAGTGCTCAGAATATCAGCTATTGTCATCACCTGCAAAACCGTGGACAGGGTTCATTTTTTTTTCTTTTTAAGAGAACAGGGAGGGAGGGAGGGGGCCAAGAACCCGCTGACAGTGGACTATAGCATTACCCTCCCTGGAAGACTTGGAAACTGGGGACAGACGCAAGGTGGGCAATGCTGCTTGGCTGGGTTCACGCTCTTCCCCATCAGGCGCCCAATGGAGGTGTGGGGATTCTCTCCTAGGCTGGAGCCCAGATACCCAGCCTCCAGCACCCCTCACTGGCCCGAGGGAAGGGTAAGGGTAAGCTCATGCTCTAGAAATACTTCAAGATGGGATGCCTGGGTGGCTCAGTTGGTTAAGCATCTGCCTTCAGTTCAGGTCATGATCCCACAGTCCTGGGATCGAGCCCTGCATTGGGCTCCCTGCTCAGTGGGGACTCTTCTTCTCCCTCTCCCTCTGCCACTCCCCCTGCTTGTGCTCTCTCTCTCTCTCAGAAAAATAAATAAAAT